TTTGACTGCTGCCATGTTATAGTTGGTTTATTTGAGATTCTCTTTGAATGATCACACTTGTTTTTCTTGCTTTATTGCATTTGATCAGGATCGCAGTTAGATATCGAAAGGGTGCTGATGCTGCTTCCACAGTGGTCAAAAACTGTAAGCTATTCTCTGAGTCTACTTAACCATTCCATGTGATATCAAGTCTGGACTTGTAGCAACTCTTTCATTAACTCAATTTTTGGTTTTTCATTTTGTACGTCTTCTTTTCCAGAACTTGGCATTTGTAAATCATGACTATGCCATTTGTTCCGCAATACCAGCCTTATGCATTTAAAATCGCTTTCATTTCTTATTCCCAGGGTCTTTGCTAGTCAGGACATACATTATTGACTATATGGAAAAAAACTATTTCATCTAGAATCTCATACATGATGAAAAAGCACCCCTTCTGTATGCAGAATGCATTTGCTGTATTCTTTCTTCCTGTGACTTATCCTTGAGTTATAGTGCTATCTCTCATTTGATCCATTCAGCTTACTTTTACCTAAGTTCCACTATGCCCCCTTCGCCCTTCAGGGAGAAATATGTGAAAGTATAATAAAAACAAAAAGTATTTATGGACCATTTTATCTGCAGGAATCTGCCTTGTAAGGATGGAATGAGTTAGTTTGCTTTTCAGTCTCTTATATCTCAGTGTAGTACAATTTATTTTCTTTGGTCCAAACAAACTGCAGGTTGAACATTGGGATTTGCTGATTGGTCCTTTGATCAATAAGCTGTTTGTGGAACCATCAAATGCAGTTATTGTCAGGTTTCTGAGCTTCATAAGTGAACACTTGGCAGAAGCTGCAGAACTGGTCTTCCAGCAACTACTCTCATACACGAGAAGGCAGGAGGAGTGAGTGGATTAGTTCAATCTAGTGATACTCTGAGCATGATTGATACAATATATATATATATATATATATATATATATATATATATATATATATATATATATATATGAAAAAGTTCAAATGCAGCGGGGTTTTCCCGTGCGGCGGTGCGGCGGAATTTCAGAATACACCAACAGTGTTAACAATATGCACCAACAATGTAAGGAAAACACACTACAATGAAATGCAATAAAACATCAAAAAAATACACAACAGACCCAAAAAAATACACCATACTCACCACCCCCAATGATGTATTTCCGAACACTGTATGGTGTTTTTACTCACACCTAATGGTGTGTTTTTGGTGATGCGTACCTAATTTGTTTCTTTTTTTGTGGTGTATTTTCCTAACGTTGATGGTGTATATTTGTTGAACTATTGGTGATGTCGCACTGCCGCACCTGAACTCGCCTCTCTCTCTCTCTCTCTCTCTCTCTCTCTCTCTATATATATATATATATATATATATATATATATATATATATATATAGAGTCAGGTTCCTGTGAAAACAGGTCTTCCCGTGCGGTCGGTGCAGTTTACACCATTAGGTATGCATAAATACACCACACAATGTTCGAAAATACACCATTATGTGTGGTGCATTTTGTGGCATTTCATTCTGGTGCATTTTCGAACACTGTGTGGTGTATTTATGCATACCTAATGGTGTGAACTGCACCGACCGCACGGGAAGACCTGTTCTCATTTGAATTATGTGCATTGCCACCTTGCATGACAGACCATGACCAACAATGCTATTTTGATATTTAACTGTAAAGTATAATTCACTAACTCATACAGGATAATTAAGAGGAGGGTCCTACTTGGTAATTTTTGTCAGCTCTTATTCTGTGCCAATTGCATGTGTACTGCTCACTGGTGGATCAATTAGTTTATTTCAATCAACTTACGAAAATATGGTTAACCATTCTCTCTCTCTCTCTCTTGTTGTCCCTCCTTTTCAGCAGCTTCAATGAGGGTTTTTGTACAAGCAATGCTACTGCAAAAAGGCAGCTTTCAATTTTCAGTCGTCTTTGCCCATTGCTTGTGATTAGGCTGCTTCCCCTGAGAGTTTTTGACAATCTTGATTCTTCTCTTATGTATGGTGAACTGCCAAGCAAATTGGCTACAAGCGGTAATTTTGTATGCTTTCAGTAATTCAGTTTAATTATTGCCTAGTTTGGAAATCAGATAGTGTTCAACAAAGCTAACACCTGACACCCAACGCCCCCAATCCCATAAAAAATGTTTTTTTTTTTGCTGGCAGATCCTGAAGGTTTCAGAATGGATACCAATGAGTGCATTACAGCGCTGCTAATCCACAGGTTTTTCAGAAGAATGAATATTTTGGAGTAAATTTCAAAATTAAAATATCATATGTTGATGTTTTATCTCCCTCAGGGCATTGAATGAGTTTGAATTTGAAGATGTCCGGAAACTTGCAGCTGAGCTTTGTGGGAGAATTCACCCCAAGGTATGCAATGATGTCACTTTTGCTTGCAAATGCTTCTTTGTCATTTTAGTGTAGCTAAAGGAACATTAGTTATGAGTGCAGTTTATGTTATGTGTTGCTATCCTAGTCTTTCGAAAAACATCTCTTAATAGATAAGGACATTTGACTTGACATTAAATGGGTAGGTAAAATATGAGATCCCAATTTATAATCCCCATGATCTAATAATTGTTGATGGCTGATTTACAGTGGGCATTAGTGCTTTTCAGTTTTCGCCATCATATATGGTTTCTATCTGTGTTATTCTGCAGGTTCTTGTTCCATTTATTTCCTTCCAATTGGAAAATGCCACAGATATGAAGCATTTACTAAAGATTAAAGCTTGTCTATTTGCAATGTGCACATCTTTAAGGGTTAGATCTCTTTGACCTAATTCAAAATCTCTGCTTCCATCCTTTGGACATCTTCATTTGTGGAATCTGATCATTGCTCTCCCTTATATTTCCTGGAATAGGTTCGGGGCATGGAATCATATAAGCACCCGGAAGTGTTTAGAATAAGGAAGATTATGGAAATCATTTTGTTATGGCCTTCAATGGATGACGATGAGGGTAATTGATTAGCTGAGATCTGCTGGCTTTGGCAGTAACTCTAATATCTCATCATTTTGATATTTTCTCGACAGTTTCAAAGGCTCAACATGGGTGCATTGATTGTCTGGCATTGATGCTGTGTACTGAACTACAAGCTCCAAAAGCATTTGGGAAATCAATTTCAGGTAAGGCCTGTGATACTTTGACCAACATTTCTCTGGGTCAAAGTTTTGTTTGCTACTTGCTAGCTATTACACATGAGTGAGGTTTACCCCGGGCACACCCTTGGGTAGTGGCTACAGGTTTCCCTCATCACCCAAAAAAATTTTGTTTGTTGCTAATTGAAGTTCCATGACACAAATGTAGGGGATGCTGGCGCAAGCTCAATTTGCAATTATGTAACCCAGCAGTTGACTTGTGATGAGCCAGATACACTTCCTCTTAAGTTGGGTACAGAGGAGAAAGAAACTGCCCATCGCTCATTTCGATTGTGCATGGCAAATGTGCTCATTAGTGCTTGTCAGAAGATCCCAGACTCTGACAAGAAAGCCTTGGTTTCTAAAATTCTTCCCCGTGTTATTCGTTCACTCAAGGTTTGGCAATCTTTTCCTCACCATCACTACCCTTTGGCTGAACATAAATTTCTATGCTACGGGGAAATACTAGCTTGTCATATTTATGTTTTTGTCAGGTGATTACGGATTCAGACATTAGGTCTGCATGCATCCAGGTTCTATTCTCAATGGTCTACCATCTAAAGTCTGCAGTTCTTCCTTACTCCTCTGACATTCTCGAAGCCTCCATCAGGTCACTGAGAGAAGAGTCTGACAAGGTATTTCAAAGATTCACGCCATGTTTTCCATACTTGGTCACAAGTTTGTTACTAAAAGCATTTTTATTTTTTAGAATTCTTGAAAGTTTGTCCAAGTGTGTTCCTTAACAAGTAAGATTCATCCCGGAATTAAGATCGAGTTGTTATTTTGTTCATCAGGAAAGGATGGGCGGGGCGAAGTTACTTGCATCCCTAATGGGTAGCGAGGAGGCAGTAATACAAAGTATTTCGGTGGGACTGCTGGAAGCTAGAGCCTTGCTTCACAGCCTCTCTCAATCCGATCCTTCATTGGATGTACGAAGTATGAGCCAGAAGTTGCTTGCATGTTTGACTTCTCCATGAATTTTCTATGCTTGGGTAAGAAATAGTGTGAACCTCTCAGCTGCAATTGAATGTCTGCAAGTAAAATTTTCCTTATCACATTCAAGAAAATTTTAATTGAATTTGTGTGTGTCTGCTTTTTCCTATCTATAGTCCGCTGATAATCATTATATAACACAGATTTGAAAATGCAACCATACCTACCATTCAAATAAAAATCCATAATAGTAATATTCATCGCATTTTGCATGGACTAATGTTAACAAATTTCTTTGGAAAAGCTCTCAAAGATTTGATTGCATCAAATTTCGAGTAAATGTTGAGTCTGATAAAATAATGGAGAAAAGAGAAATGAGAGTAAGTGAGATAGAGATTATCAAGAGAGAAGGTGTTATGTTGCATTTTATTCTTCTTCTTTTTGGAGGTAAATTAAGTGTTCACTTTTAATAGAATGCAGTTATAATTGAAATATATATATATATATATTAACTAATTTTTCACTCTGTTCACTTTTAATTTTACACACGCTAAGAGTGTATTTGAACAAAATTGAATTTATATTAAAATTCAAAATTGAATTACAATGAGTATCAATACACATACAAAATATTTGATTGTTGAAACTTTGAACATTTGCTATGAGATTCAAGAATAAACTTATAATGATCTGTGCATAAGATTTTAAAGATGTTATCTATGCAAATAAGAGCTTCTATTTATAAGGATAGGATAGAACAGATATATTACAATGGCAAAAAATTCTACATAAGACTTTAAAGATGTTTGATTAAGCTTTTCTTTTCCAATGATTTTAAATTGCTTTCTGATCTTTTTTAGTATGATTTGTTACCAGGTGCCAACAGATTTACAGGTCTATAAAAGAATGTAATTTTGCAATGCTGTTATATTACTAAGATATATGCATAGAAAATTTTGTATTTTCGCCAAAATTGTGGCCTTCTTGTGGCTCCCCTTTAGATCTCCATCTCCTGCAGTTGGCATTCTTATGCCTTAGCTGCTGTCTGTGTTCTAACAAATATATATATTTTCATTTTCTGTATACATCATCTTCTCATTAAGCATTCTCCAGGCAATCCGAATTCCTTTTTCCTCCGAGGAACTAGTCGTCTCCAAGGGTCGTTGTGTAGCTTGTAGTGCAGCACCTTCAGGAAACACAAATATTTGTCGCCATTAACAAAAAAGGATGGATAATGTTGAAAGGCGAGAAACTGTTTGTGTCCACTGGGCACGACGTACCTGTATGAATGTGGCGAAGACATCGTCTTCCTTTAGCTGTGAAAGCTGCTCGGCCCAGTCATCGATGCGCCCAGACGCATCCTTTTGTCTCTCAGCTTCAAGGGAGATGGAATCGCGATAAAAGAATCTCTGCCAGAGTTTCTTTACGTTTGCCAATTTGAATTCGACTTCTGTCTCGTTTATACTCTGTAGAAAGAATATTAACATGATCAAGTGGTCAGCTTCCGGAGAGGAATTACTGTAAGTAGTCTGTTTCCACAACACAAATGACAAATGTAGCAGACAATTACCCGGAGAATGTTCATCAAATTCGGAATTTCATCTTCGCGTATCCTAACGGCAAAGCTTTCATAGTTAAGGACATTCTCGTACGGCAGGTATATACCATCCTGAATGCAGGGAACACAGAAGTCGATGCTTAGAAAATGACACACAAAACTTCAAATATGCAAGCGCCCAAAAGCTCTGATACCATGTTATAAACTAAGATTGGGTCAGGATCACTCAATTGGACTATAATGCACATGGGTCAAATCACACTAAAAGATTGAATCTAACCAATGAACTAGTTTAACTCATGGCCTTATAAACCCATATGTTCTCTCAACGAAATATTTAGAATGTATTATTACCTGAATGACTACAGGAATGCACCCTTGCAAAATACTATCTTCCATCCGTCCACTCCACCCATCGCCAGGCATAACTCCGCAAAAGACAGAACTAGCCAATTCCTCATGGTAATTCCCAGCGCGTAATGAGGTCACAAGAACGTCTTTTGCATGCTGCTTGCCAAGCTCACCTTTCTTGTTAGGGCTCGATCCAAATTCTTCAGCCACTTTCTGCCTTATGCCCATACTATACCTGAAGAACATCAACATTCGAATACTAAGTTTCATCACGATATGAGATAGCAAAAGGTGCACCAATTTTACATATCTACTGTATAGTGACAGTATATCGATGAAGTTTACTTACGTAGCTTCAGGCCTCCCATTTTCATAATCTGGTCCTAGTTTGCCATTAAAATAAAATAGTGTCTTCCTCGCCTCCCGTGGCCTGCACAAATAATTAATCAAGAAATTCATGTTTTGCCAGTTAAATTTGAACCAAAATAAAAAGCTATACATACCTGTTCAACAACATCCCGATCTATTTATATGACAAATGACATCCAAATAACTTACCTAGCCCAAAATTTAGCTTTCAGAGAACCTCCATCAGGTAGCTTCCAAGCTGGAAGTACGAGATCCTTATTTGGGTCAAAGCACGGGTGATTTCCTCTTCGGTCAGACGAAATTGAATCCCAATTGTCCGCCCAATATGCTGTTGTCGAATGATTATGCTTCGAGTTTGTATTGCCCCAATGGACTAACATCATGCTGTTCCAAATTTCCTTAGGGGCATAGCAAGCACCTTCATCCCATGAAAAGAACTGTGTTCAGAAACAAAAAACCGTTACCATTGATACCAAACATAAAAATTTCATTCATTTTAAGGTTTATGGATGCATGGGTGGGGAGGCATTAGTGTTCCAGTTATCATGGCACACGATATAGATATAGATATCATACCCATATGTGATCTTTGCCTGATGAACGGTTCCAGTAAGGGTACTCTGATTTAATATGATCATAAGCCTTCTTATATAACTCCAAAGTAAGAGAGCTCCTCAAGCCGTTGTGCTCCTGAAATTTTTGTATTTAGAAAACATAATCTGAAGTCGTATTCATGCTATTACATATGCAAACTATTTGGCATGCCATATTGAAGATAAATAACTGCAAAACGTGTGCCTTCTTATGGGTGATAAGTTTAGAATCAGAAAGTGAAGAAAAGTTTCTGTCATCTTATAATCTTACCTCCATGGACAAGTGAGGGGCATCATCAGCACGAGTTATAATGCAGGAATCAAGAACTGGAACAAAGAAAAAATCTGCTTCTTCGCCATTCAATGTTCGATGAAGGCTGGCTAATATACTTTCGTAAAGTGCCATCTAGGAAAGATTGAGCACAATAAACAATGTAAGAAGCATATAAAGATAAAGATTTTTCTTAACTGGCATCAAGAATCGACCTATACCTGTGCACCATACAGCATATCTGTCCATACTGTAGCATTATTTGGATCATAGATTCTGTTTACACATTCCAATTTAAAATGGCGTCCCTATAATGCCCAAAAGTCAATTAGCAAAGAACAAAATCCTTTAACTAAAACACATAAGAAACAATTGGCAGAAAGTGTTCAAACCTCCAAGAGAAGACTGTTATACTCTGGGGGCAAATCATAAACGTAGATGAGTGGCCTTCTCTTCTCCACCACAGCTTCAATATTAACAGGATTCCCTGTCGCATTCACATTATCTGGAATGTTTACTTTGGCTGGTCGAAGCCACTTTGGCCAGTCTCCTATGGAGGACAGAATAGAGGGAGCACTACAATCTGCCCCAAACCAACCAGTATGACACTGCAGATAAGCAGGTATCTCGTCAATTGCTAAAAAGTAAAAGTGTTGTACTAAAACAAGAAGTTAAGAAGTGCAACTAATTGAAGCATGTGCTCTACGTAGAGATTCAAACCCATGACCTTTGGTCTGGCTCTGATACCAAATTGAAGCATGTGCTCCATATCAACTAAAAGCCTAAGCTGATAGTTGGATTGCACATTAATGGTTATACTCTCAACACAACTTACCTGACAAAATCCACCTCGACATAGCCCATGCCCAGAGCATTGATTGATACAAGTGCTCGAAACAGGCACCTCACAGAATCTGCCCCAAAGCCCATCATACTTACAATCGCACTCCTCTTTGAAGAGCACCCTGGAAGCGGATGCTTCATCGGGATCCACATTGCACCATCCTCGTTTGCTAGTATTGGTAGTGAAGACATCTGGATCAACTTTTGTCCAATCAGTCACAGGGGGGTCTCCGGGTTTAGATGGGGGGCTGAAATCATATATGCAAAAGCTATGGTTCACAGATTGCTATAGAAGCCACAGGTGGACTGCATACTGAGATTTATGCGCTTACTTGATCTTAAAGCCACATGTCTCTGCAAGAGGACGATTTGGGTATTTTGTGCCTTCCCCACAAAAACACATTGCTCTTGTTGTGTCACAATGTGCTGGGCAAATTGATACAACCCATCGCCCATAAGGTTGCTCTTTTGACTCGGGGAAGTTGCACTTCAACTCCAGCCTCTCTGAACATCCTTCACCTAGTAATGGATATCATAAGTAAGATATAATATCCCAATAGAAATCCATTTCCAGGCACAAATTTCATATGAGCATCTGTTCTTTTTTGTTTTGCAAGAGGCATCTGTACGATGAGAAAGGATGGGAAGAAAGGAAAAGTTTAATACTAACCACTGAAACCATGAAAGCAGCGACATTGACCCAGCTCATGATTGCAAACGCCTTGACTGCTGCAATTATTTTTGCAGCTCTTGCTGCCAATTTGCTGTTAAGAGTATTGGTGTTTTATGAGCTACTATCATGCAGAACTTGTAAAGCAGAAGACACCTTATATATTGATTCAGATCTCACTCCCATTAAAACTTCGAAATTTAAAACAAAATACAGCAGAATACGAGTATGGACATGGAAGCTGGATTGATATGTTAAGAAAAGAACATGATAGAAATATATTTCAAAAATCAAGCTGGTAATTACCTCAACTATTTTCACTGATGCATTTCTTGCATCGCAACCAGCTAACCACCGGCCAATTCCAGCCTTCCATGGAGCACCACGGTAGACCACAGCATTATGTAAATCTTCAGGAAATTCTGCATTCAAATCAAGCATAGGAGGCGGGCTTCCTTTAGATGTCTCGTTGACTAGTGTCACATACATTCTATCTTCGATTGTCTTGTTATCTCGGGAAGCCCTATTACCTACTGCACTTGACCCATTAATTGGGAGACAAGAATTTTGAAAGGACCGTGTACTAAAATAGTCCAGAGAAGGAACCACAGGGTACAGGAATAAGTGAATAACTGAAACCAAGATCACAAATGAAGCACCACTTGCCACTAGGGACCATGAACATCTTTTTTGGAAAGAGAACATGATACACCAAATTACTAACTTCCACTTTTAACTTGTCTCAAACCAAGTTCTTAATTTGCATTAACCCTTTTCAACTCATGGTTCTTGGGCCACTAGCTGTAAATCAACCGCTTTGTCGACCTTCCCAAATTCACAATTCCTGTTACAGTTTAAGGAACTAATAAGTAAGCTTGGGAAAAGCAATTCAGTTCTCCAAATTAAAGAGGTATCACCAGAAAACAAACAAAGCTCAAATAAACCTACTAAGTACTAACAATCCATTACTTCATAGGGGCAATAAAAACTCACAAACTTTTAATCTAGAACTAGAAGGGGACCAAAAAAGAAGTAAACTTTATGAAGAATTACACAAAAAATTGGTCAAACAACAGTTCTTCATAAACACGTATCCTTTCTAAAATGAAAAGGGCAAAAGACAACCAAGTAGACCAGCTGAGATAGTTCAGAGACTAAAAATGCAATCAAAAGATATCAAAAAGCATGAGAATTGAAGAAGGCTGGTGAATGTGAGCCCACAGACCTGACTCGGATCTGCAAGAACACAATTTTTGGATTCTTTGAATAATTCAAAGACCAGAAACATGAAGAACAACTCATATGTATATACCCAAACTAACAATTTCTTTTAATAAAAACTTTTCTAAAAATTCAATCTTTCTATATTTCTGATGAATACAATTACCCATACTTACATACCCAGAGAAGAAAAGGGTGTTTGACTAATTGACAAAGGAGAGAGAGAGAGAGAGAGAGAGAGAGAAATTACCTATTGAAATGCAGCTGACACTCTGTTGTCGAACTGGTCCCATAAAAAAATATATATTACATAATAAATACATGTATGCCTATACATCCATTCCATGCATGTGCACACAACAAAAGTCACAATCTTTAAATAGAAGCCGCCAAGGTTTTAAGCTGGAATATGGAATTGAACCAACTGAAGACTTGAACAGTGAAGATGGTTGCCGTTAGAATGACAGAGAAATGCCCTTGCTGAAGGGTAGATTGGGCAATTTGAGAAATCTCTTGTAGATTTTTGTAATGACCCGCAAGGTTCTTCATTCTGGATTCTGGAAATCTCTTCAATGAATTTGGACGATTGATACTTGATAGTTGATACGCTTTGTCTATTTGTACCTAGAGATCTTTGAAATTACGGTTTTACCACAGAGATTCCTGGGCTCCTGGCAGGATATTGTGCTCAAGTATCAACTGCTGATTTTAGTGGGAACTTTTTTTTTTTTTTTTTCGGATTTTCAGTTGTAATGAGAAGCAATGATTGAAGTATGAAACAATGAAACTTTTTTTTTTTGTTTTTTTTTTTTGCATTTAGCATTAACATTTTACTATAAGACTAATTCAGATTTGGTTTCAATCACATTTGTAAAGTTTGGCTCTAAGTAACTCTAACAAAATATGAATACCTAAAAGTCGACCCTTCGAGTATATATTCGGAAGCAATGATTGAAGTATGAAACAATGAAACATTTACATTTATTTTGTTTGCAGTATTGACAATTTTGTTAATTATCATTGTAAAACTATTTCATATTTGATTCGAATTACGTTCACAAAGTTTGACTCTAACATAATGTGCATGCATAAAAGTCGATCCTCCGAGTATGATGGGAAGCAATGATTGAAGTATGCAATAATTTATTCCAATACAACATATGATATCCCAACCACTATAAAATTAATTCAAATCTAGTCTAATAATTGTGCTCATAGAATTTTATTCTAACTTTACAATTGTATTAGTAATTTTCTAACTAGTTGTACAAAATTGATTATTTCAATTGGACAAAATCAAGAACCAATTGTGTTTGCGAATTCTTCTTATTTTGCATTTTTGCAATTTGCATAAATAAATGGTGATTAATAGTACAAGCAGCTAGCTAACCACTATAAAAAGTCAAATGTCTGCCCATTATATTTGTTTAATATTCTTTTACCTTTCAAAACAAAAAAAAAAAAAAAATCTTTATATATATCATTCATCTTGTAAACAATTTGTACCTTTTGATGTGATAACTCATTGTAAATTAATTAGATAAAATGTTAAATTATACTTTTAATACATTTTTTTGTGTAAGTAAAATTATTGTCAATCGAAAATGAATGACATATTTCAACCAAAATAATAATAACAATAATAATCAACTTATTGATATGCTTTTCTATATGGAGTAAAATTTTGTATAATACACCATCGTTATATCATTTAAAATTATAAACAGAGTAAAAAATAAAAAATTGTCAATTAAATAATAACCATAGAGAAATTCAGACACTAAGCCTCCACAATGGGGACGGTGTTGACTTTTTGTGCAAAACGAGAAAAATTCATACAAATACATCATTTATTTCTTTTTAGTACTATTGACTCTATTATAAGATAGTATCTGTTATATACTTTCTCTATTCATTGCCGTCTAAAGAGTCAATACCATACTGCCGAAATTCGATCATGTAACATTCCCTAAAAAAGAGTCACAAAAATGTCATCTAAGAACAATGTGTTTGGCAAATACATCATCCTATCCTATATATAATAAAGTCATATGGTCTTGTGCAACATTTAATTTTCACAAGACCATAATAATATTATTATTGTGAAAATTAAATGTTGATAATCAACATTTAATTTTCACAAAACCATAATAATATTGTTAATTATAATAACAATAATAATAATAATAATAATGATAATAATTTCCACGGACAGTTTCTAATATATATATATATATATATATATATATATATATATATATATATATATATATATATATATATATATACTTATTTATTTATTTATTATATTTCAATTTCTATTGGCAAAGTATTGTGAGGAACGATGGTCCACATAATTGTACGGATCATGAATATCAAATACATTTTTAATATATTAAAAATACATTATTTTTATATTGAAAGTACCTTACATACATATATAATGTACCCTTAGTATATTTAAAATATACTTTTTATTGCATGCAACCCCAAAGTTCATAAGTTTGAAATTAATATATGGCATAGCTAGGCGGCCTAATATTTAAGATTGTTGATGTGCATATTGAGGACTACGGAGATAAAGATGCGTTATTCGTGGATTCATCGGATACTATCCAGCAACACTCTCCAACTTAATTGACGTGAAGTGGCTTAGTAACATTAAGATTATATTCTCGAATTATTAGTTCTCATCTTTTATTGATTACACACTTAATTCGATAGTATTTGGAAGAAAAAATCAATGTTCGAACTAAGATTGTGATTTTGGTCTTTAAAGGTCAATTGTATGTTGCTACATCTAGAGTTAGAAATCTCAAAGGTCTAAAAATTTTGATCTGTGGTGACTCTAAAATTGTAATTCAATTACTATTGTAGTTTACTAAGTTCTTAAAAATTTGTAATATTAAATACTATGTACTAAATTTTTAATATAGTTTAAGATTTGTAGTAATCACTCACCTTAAATATTATTTTAATTGTAAATATATTTATGTTCATAATTTTATCATAGGAATTCACACATAATAATTATTAAATAACAAAAATTTTATATATGAATAAACCTCATATAGGGTATATTTTTATAACATATTTTTCGTGTATGGGACAAATACTAGTTTATTTAAATACCCAAAACATGAAAAAGAGAATAGTTTTAAATAGTCCGAAATTTATTGTGATTGGACGTGGGGACTGGGGGTCATGATTTCAAAGCAATCAAATATCAATAATGTGATGATGATTTTATTTAGAAATAAATAAATGGGGAATCTTGCAGCTAATCAGTAATTAATTATATCCTAATTTTTTTTTGAAAATAATTATATCCTAATTAATTTAACAAAAGTCAATTGTCGCTCTACGTAAATGGCGGTGAGTGGTGAAGGAGCTTCAAGCTTTCCAGTAACAGCCTGTAAGTCTTAACTCTTCAACCTATCCTATGTTTTTTTTTGTTTTTTGTTTTTTTTTTGTGTGTAATATTTTAAATAATAAATCATATTAAATTATACCCACCCAAAAAAAAAAAAAAAAACAAAACAAAACAAAAACAAAAACAAAACATCCATTAATAATTTAATATATAAACTTTATATTTCATGTTCGACTTTTATTTTGATTAGGGGGTGGCCACTAAATTAATTCAAGCATGGACTGTCATAATCAGTGACCACCCCAAATTTTGATAATAGTTTTTAAATTTAATGAATATTGTTTCAAGTTGTAATAAATGAATCATTGGTTGACTATGAATGTGCCAATGTCCCTATATGCAATCCCTTTATTTGGTTTGGTAGTAAACATATGTTGAAATTAAAGATTCAAAATAAATATTTAATTAAATAAATGTATGTATATATGTATATGTGTGTATTTGAATTTTATAACTAATATATGGAAGATGATTTTATAATCAATATAATATGGGGCGAGAGAGTGGAGCATAATTTTTATGCCTAAAAGCTAAAGGTCACGATTTTGATTATTGCATACACTCTTTCAGTCGAACTTATCGTACATGATCTTTCTAGAATGGTTTACCTCTGTTGTATGGTTTGCGGACTATCACATAGGAACATGATTTACCTAGTGCACACCCTCAAGTACTGGTTAATGTTTATTAGGTTGACAATGGTCCACTGCACACATGACCATACATAACGTACATTATTTTTATACGTAATATTCATTATTTGAATGCGTACGAGATAGTATAAAAACAACTTGAGGGTTCATTATTTATATATATGCATAAGGTTCATTAGTTGAGCATGTACAAATTGATTGAATGTTGATTATTTAGGCATGTATATTATAGGCTCATTTCATTTGTACATAATCTACCATCTTTACTTAGAAAGCTAATATTCAGCAAATCATTTGCTCCGGGAGGCACGAGAGCTGGCTCAAAGGGAATTGTCACTTGTGGTAATCAAACCCGGGTTATCCTAAAATTTTCCCCCACAAAGAGAGCTCATTTGCCACTTAAGCTATCTTGTTGGGTTAAAATCAATGTTTATTATTTGTATGCATAAAATACATTATTTCTATGAATGTGTTTTGATGCCTGGACCACAGTAGAATTTGCTAGTAATGACTGCAGGTTTTTCTCGTTACTCAAAGTAGGCAAACAAACAAGTAGATCAAATTTGAATCTAAATAACTTATTATAAGAGCTAATGCATATCGGTTGTTATATCGTGGACCGCGGTGCACGGTCAAAACGACGCACCGTTACTATTAACGGAGCGCGCATTTTTGTGTGTTAATTACCAACTGAAACTACAGTGTATCTAAACCGACATTGCCTCGCGTATTATTTTTTATATATTATCAAATGAAATTGCAGTTATATCATAATGATATTGTAGTTGTGGTAAAATGAAACTGCAGTGTATATAAAATGAAACTGAATAACATTTCACATATTTGAGTATATATTGTGCAATGAAGCTGTAGTTATATCGAAATTATCATATAGTGTTTTAATGAAACTATAGTATATATAAAATAAAATAAAATAACATTTTCACATATTTGAGTGTATAAATATCGAATGAAAATGTAGTTGTGTTAAACTGAAACTGCAGTGTATACAAAATGAAACTGAATAACAGAATTACTTTTTGCGGAACGGCGCAAAACAGGTGTCGTTTCTTTTTTCATTAAACAAAACGACGTCATTTTAAAGTGCGGTGCATAATCGATTATGCAACGCGGTGCACGATATAATTTGGCAATGCATATTACACCCCTAAATAATGTATGTATTTTTTTGGGCTTGTGAATTTGTGTATCATGTTAAAAGGATATATATTGTACTTAAAATGTTTGGTCCAAAATTATTTTTTATTATTATTATAAGGAAGGGGATACCCTACATATACACACTATTTGCCTCAAGTGAGGTTTCAACCCATCACCTCCCACTTAGGAGAGCAATCCGATACTAGTGGACCACAAGCCACCGATTGGTCCAAAATTATTTTAATTTATACCGTTAAATATTTCGTTAGTTAAATATTAAATATATACCTTTCAAAAAAAAAAATATTAAATATTAAATACTAAATCTATTCATTTATTGTATTTACCTTAGATACATTACTTACCAAAATAATTTACATAATTAAATACTACATTAAACAAAATATATTTTACTATTTACAGACTAT